AGGGTTTTCTTCTGCACACCGGACGTGGTAGAACACCAAGCGGCCTCATAGTCAGGGAACGGCATCGCATCTCGGGGAATGACGCAAACTTCGACGACGATTCTATAGTCAGTGGCATGAGCAAGACCTGAGAGGACGCATGTGTGGGGCGGAGCATTCATGGCACAGACAGAAATGTGTGTTCCCTCCAGGATTGCCATAGCCTTTGCAGATGCTAGTTTACCGAGCGCCAGGTCGGGGATGGTCCAGGAGACCTGTAGTTCTTTCGTTCTCACAGCCAGCACTCTTACGTCCTTTGCCACCTCTGGAACTGCAAGTCACAGAATTCGGAAGATTCAGGAAGTTTGCATTAATTTTTGCAGATTATCATCAGCGTACGTAAGTACACTATGCGATAAATGAACATAGCAGGGCTGGCCTCCAATGTGTGCACTGAGCTTATTCGAATGGAGAAAGGTGAGCACGACCTGGGGTAAGTGCTTTTCCTGATGAATATGAGCCTACGTAACGGCAAGGTATTTTGTAGGCCCGGGTGGCTGCGGCGTCGGGCATCAACGCCTAAGTGTGTCGCCATCCGCGGCTGCATGACTGCATCGTCGGTTGCGATGGTTATGTCGTTGATGTTGGCCACTATGAGTTGGCACTGGCCACATGAGTTGGCACTGGCCACACGAGTTGGTACTGTTTGTGATGGAAGAGTTTTGATTTTCTAGGGTCTGATTGTTTGGTCACCATTACGATTAGTCTCGATGCCGTTGATAGTGGGCGATTGAACATTAGCAGTGCTAATGGGTCGAGTGCGTTAGGATTCCTAGCACTGGTGCGCCATTTTCGATGCAATAAAATTGCTAGTAACCGACCAAACTGATGCGTGCTGTGAATAGGCGATAGGTTCAATAAGGACGGGTCGGGACGGTTCAAATTGCTGATGGGAATGTGGTAGTAGGTGCGTGGATAGTGGTTGAGGAGGTGTCAGGGATTTTTTCGTCGCTAGCGATAATGAGATAGACAGAAGAAGTCAACGTTGTCAGGATGATGCGAAGCGAATAGCTCACATTTCGAGTGTGATCACTAGTAGTGGTCGCTGTCGAAGACTACGGTAGAGGTGAAAAATAATCCGTTTGAGATGATATTAAATGGCATCAGAGGGCGGTCGTTGCCTGCGCAATTCTGCTCATTGCGCGGAGTATTCACTGACAGCCAGGAAGTGTTTGGCGGGTTGAGTGCTGACGCTGACGGCTGAAGACGCTCAAGATTAGCCTGCCGTTCTTTTGTCGACACCGCTGGCTTGGTAGTTTGATGCTCCTGTCTTCTCCAGATCAGTCCTTCCGGGGACATCAACCTGGGTCGCCGGGTCGTTTGAGTGGCTCTTTTATGTGCCTCTATACAGCCCTGTTAAGCCTCTTTGTTAGAAATCCCCCTGTAGATATACCACCGTACAAGATTCGTTGTGTTAACTGCTCGTTGTCCATTCGCATTCGGTGCCATGCGCACATACGCTTATCATTTTATCCGCGAAGATCGATGTTAGCAAACCTCACCGTTTCGAGGTTGTATTAGTAATGAGCGATCCTTCGGTGAGCGTTTTTAAGCATGCTCTTAGAAGTATGGCAACTGGTAATCATCAACGTTCAAATCGCTAACGGGTTTTCAAAGCAGTATGATAGCTTAATATGTACCGGAACAGTATAACAAGACAGAAGTGCCT